TATAGGCCTCAATGCCACCCACATGGGCTCGTCGTAGCACCTCGGTATTGCGCACTCGATCAGACCATCTGATCTTCATGATGGTACGAAGGCATTTGAGGTGGAAACGATCCAGTGTGCGTATATGGTGGCGATACACGCACCACGCCTCGGAGGAGTACAGTAGGTTTGGCAGCACAACCGCCATGTATATTGAAATTTTTGTAGCCAGCTTTAGGTCATGCGAGCAGAAAACCTTGGAACGCAGCTTCCCAAATGCTGCAGCTGCAGCACTGATCCTGCTGCTGATCTCGGCATCAAGAAAAAATCAATCAACATCAAAAATATTTTATTCAAATTTGACCAGTATTTTGATGTACAACATATTTCAAAAAAGGTGTAATTATTACTTACATTTACTGGTGTGCTTGTTTTGTATGTTCCATCTATGTCTATCTCATAATCTTTTGTTTCATGTGACTAAAATTATCAAAACAAAAAAATCTATCAAAATCTAAAATTAATTTGAATAATTTCAGTATCAGTTTGTTTGGTATATCGATAAACTTATCGACATTTTTCAAGCCCTTTACGTCATAAAAAATGAGATGTGAATGAATGAATGAAACCTATAATCCAACCAAATTAAATATGCTACATGTTTTAAGCATTTACATGTACAATGAGTACTTTTTAAAATGACGTAATCATATTTTGTTTACATATCAAATTTTATTTATTTTACGAAAAAATAGCTACTATAATAGATTTAAAATGTACTTACGCGTGATAAGAAACATTTCTTGTGTGACAGGAATAATTTTTGCAATAAAGTACGGTGCATTTACCCATTTTTCGTGATATTTTTACTCTTCGAGAGCTGGCGTCATACTGACAAAGTGACAACCTGACAACATTTACCATGGCTTATTTAGCCATGGTAAGTGCTAGCGGGGTAAAGACGAAAACGTCACTCGTTACGCGTCCAGTGGTTTATTCGTCCAAGACTAAAAGCAATGTATAGAAAAAATAAAAGAACATGTCTGGTTCTGAATCATCTTTCATAAATTGTCATTTAGGTTGATTCAAGTCTGCAATTCCTAGACTAGCTTAAAACACACTTAAGGTAAGCGTTAACGGTAGATCTGTTGCCTACCCCGCCAATGTCATATTTGTGCAGCATGGTACAAAGCGATTCTGAAATTACAAAAATTTCTACACTAGAAACACAGTAGATAAATCAAACAGTACGGAAGCTTCATACAAACGCTCGAAATCAGACTCACGCACACAGACGCACGCTTTACACGAGCTCTAAGCGAACCTCGCAGTCCATCCGTCGCGAGTGTCGCGCGCGTTGTGTTTTTAATAATAATTTTATTGCAAGCACTGTCCGCTGTATTTTTAAAAACACGCCACGAGTGTATTGCGTAGTATACGGCTGCTTAAACTCGGCATCTTCAAAACCAGAACTTACATTTTTTACTTCGTAATAATTCTGAATTGTAAAAATTATTAAATATTACTTTTTAAATAAAGTGCTTACATCTGATTTAGTAATAGTTCTTTTTAAATTACGTAATTACGCTTTTTAACAATTTATGTGTTCTATTTGATAAAGTAATTTGCTCCGCGCGCTTTTGTATTAAGTGATGTACTGTATTTAAAATGAGGCAATAGCTATGTAAAAGTAAGTATCCGGTATTTTATTTATGAGAATAGAATATCTTCTACCTGCCTCTAATAGTACTTAATTAATTTATTCGATTATGTATTCGATTTTTATAGAACCTAATTAACGTTTTATTTTTTTGTTAACTACTTAGTCAATTAATTTATTCCATTAGGTATTTGATAATTAAAAACCTAAATAAACCTTTTAATAAATAAGTCAAAACCTTATTAATTTTATTAAGATTAAGAGTGCCAACCCTAACACTCAGTTGAAGTGTAGGTATTTAACTCGCCGAAAGGGCTAAGTTTCCGTACTGCTTTAGCTCATATATCTACTGTGCTAGAAACCAGAAAACAAAATAATACAGTTTTTTTCTCCTGCGTACTTACTCGTATTTCACTTTAGAAATCACAAAATTAAATCATTAAACCTTTGTTCTCCTTTGTCCCCAGGTCCCGGGCTGAAGGCCATGGCGATCCTCAACTGCCTGCTGGCCCGGCAGCTGTGCTTCGAAGACGCCTCCTGCTCCGCCATCCTCGAGATCATCCCGCGCGTCTGTGGATCCGAACTTGGTAAGTTGTTTTTCATCATCATCANATAATATCTTTTAACAAAATAATGGTCATAACTGAAATTATTTAAATGGGAAAGTAAGTGAGGATGGATGTTCATAGACCTCATGCACAAAACTTCTCGGCTAATTTTGATGAAACTTTTCTGTTTCATGTAGTTTTTTTTCTTCTTAGGGATCTTGGAAGGGTTAAGCAACAGAATATAAATAATTAAAACAAAGCCAATCTTCTTCGGCTTCATAATGACCTGTTTACTGTGGATTATTGACAATACCTATCTGTATAACTTAAATTAAATATCCTTGCTTATTTTACGCTGCGCTATCTATTACCAAACTGAGCATAACTTTAATAGCTACTATAAAAGCTTTGCTCATTTATTTTATTAGTATATTAAAACATACTTCAAGCTTTATTTGGAAATCATATCCAGATTTTCATGTCAATTTGTTTTATATGCGCGGGCATCGAACCCTAGATATCTACCGTAGTAGTCCATTTCTCAACCACTAACGCCAAATTAGTATTATACAAAATTCTTACAAATTCATACAATTGTCATGCGGGAATCGAACCCGCGACCTTTATCATAAACCGTTGCGCAAAGCCTAATAATACCAAGCCAATCAGAGCCATAGACTCAAACTAGTCTAGCACAAAACTCGTTTGCGAACTTGAGCGTGCATCTCGATCGATACTCGCCTCTATTTCGGTCGGATCGAAGGCAATTTGTTTCAATTTCGCTTGTAAGCTATTTGCGTGTGATGCTGCAGACGTCCGGTAGATGGAGTTAAACGAATTTAGACGACTGCACAGGTAATTGGTGAATGATATTACCTACTTAATTAATTTAGTGGATTGGCACTTAGGCAATTATTCGTGGCTGTTTTGAACTGGCATGTATAGTTGACTGCACATCAGAGCGGTTTTTAGACCGCTTAGCATTTTTTCTGCGCGTATTCGGTCTTTCGGTTACGTTTACATGCGCGCTACATTTTGCGCTTCAAAAAACCAGACATGTGTACACGGGCTTAGGGTCACAGCAGACATTAGACACATCGGCGATCGGCGATTTTGTGACGTAGCATCGCAGTTTCGCGACTTCATGCATTCGGACGCAATATTGGCGCGTTTTAGCGTCTTCTGTCGTTGCTTCGAGCTTCCAAAAAGCAACTCAATCGCTGCGTTTGGAGTTTTTAAATGTGTGCTGTGTGTGAATCCGGAGTGTTCGCTCACATCGGTAGTGGTGGATCAGTATCGGCAGTATAGTAATTATTGGGATTCGAACCCACGAGCTGTTACTTTCCGGGCGACTGTATTGACTACGGAGACACTAGCAGGCAGCTAGCAAGCGATAGGTCAAGGGTTCGTTCTATACACACCATTTTAGCCAACAAAAGCCCATTCCATTTCTAATGACTATAAAATTAGGTTTTAATTGCTATGAAAATAAACAGTCCATTGAGTAATATAGCCACCACATGACGTCATAGATTTATATTGCCATACAGTAGGTGTTAAAGGGCGTATGGCTTTTTGACAGCTCAGAAAAAATGGTAGTTCTTTTGTTTTATTTTCCTCTTTCATCAAAAAATTAATACAAACACATGGCACATGAAGTCATTCAGTAAACGCATTATAAACCTACCTTCTCAGGGTAGATAATAACCTGATAATTACGGGGAAGTGGGGGAGTTGGAGGACATAATGTTTCTGTCAAGAGGGGTTCAAATTAATCCTGCTTTTACCGTGGACAGGGATGAAATTCGTTGTGCTAAAAGAAAGTGTAGTAGAAGCAAGGACTTTATGTCGAAAGTATACTTAGGATATCCAACTGACTTTATAGTTACGTAATAAAAGATGCTACAGGTAGAAATTATTTAAAAGACACACTTACATATTACATTTACTCACCTACATGCAAGCATTGCTTTTTTGCCCTTTTAACTGTTTTTACGAGATTATAATAATTATTATAGAATCCATTATTGACTGTAAGAAGTATAAAAACACCTGTTTGTGTTAATATTATAAAGAGCTGTGGTTTTCTGAATAAGAGAAAAATAAAAATAAAATAAAGATTTTTAACAGAAATAGGTAGTACACTGAAGTAGACAGGAATGAACAGAAAAAATAAAAGAACGTGTCTGGTAACGTGTCTTCATATTAAATTGTCATTTAGCTTAATTTTTAAGCTTCCAATGTCAGACTAATGCCCGTTTTCACCATCGAACCCTATTTTTAAGTGACCCCTATGGTAACACATTATATGAATTTTGTTTTTATAAGGGTCATTTAAATATTAAGGATTGATGGTGAAAACGAGCATAAGGCTGGGTCGCACCATCTTACTTTAACTTTGACAAACGTCAATAATCTGTCAAACTCCATACAAAAACACCGATTATCGTCATAGTTACGGTCAAAGTTAGGTGGTGCAACTCAGCCTAAATCTTAAATACATAGTAGGTACATTGAGGCGGTAAGCGGTAGTGGCATTACATGCGAGCTGTACCATTCCAGAGTCCAGACTGCATCTCACTTAACATCAGGTGCAAATGTGGTTATATACACCTGTCTTGTTCTGCATAAATAAAGCCTACCCCGCCACCGTCGTTTTTGTGTGGCATGGTGCTACTCGAACATTACAAAAATTAGGTACCAAACCTGCAATAGTCCCTCCCAGATCCCCAAGTAACTATGTGTCGTTTAAACTACCAATCACAAATCGAAATCATTAAACCTTTTTTCTCCTTTATCTCCAGGTCCCGGGCTGAAGGCCATGGCGATCCTCAACTGCCTGCTGGCCCGGCAGCTGTGCTTCGAAGACGCCTCCTGCTCCGCCATCCTCGAGATCATCCCGCGCGTCTGTGGATCCGAACTTGGTAAGTTGTTTTTCATCATCACCTTCATCGNCATCATCATCATCATCTTATTCTTGTCGTGTCGACAAAAACCTATACAGTGTCACCCCAAAACTCAGCTACAAGAGTGGCGTTATCAGTAGCATTTATTAAATCTTCCTGCGTGCAGTTGTTTGGGCACGCAGGGCACCATCGTCAGCATTTCAGCCACAGGACGTCCACTGCTGAACATAGGCATCCCCTAAGTATTTCTATAACGACCGGTCCGGCGTTGCCCGCATCCAGGTTCTTCCCGCAACTTTCACCAGATCGTCGGTTCACCTAGTGGGGGGCCTGCCCACACGGCGTCTTCTGGCCCGTGCTCGCCACTCGAGAACTTTTCTGCCTATTATAAGCAGCCATCAACTCTGCGAGCTAAGTGCCCCGCCCACTGCCATTTGATTTTATTCTACAGACTATGTATGGTTCACTTTTTTGGTTTTCCTGTAAATCTCCTCATTTCTGATTCAAACACGCAAATAGTATGTTACATCGCCCTTTGGGTTCATCTTCTTTTCGTGTCGATAACAAACCTACACAGTATCGCCCTTTGGGTGACCTTGAGCCTTCTTATGAGGCCCATAGTAAATGACCACATCTAAACTCCTTCCACTAAGCTAAATACGCTTGTGTTACGAGACTTCACCATAATAGTTGAACGATGGCATTCGTTCCTGCATTCCTCGGGTGTCGAGTCGTCCAGTCCGACCCCTTCACCGTTCGGCTCTCGTGGCAAGTTGTAACTTATAGTTTGGTAAGTTACCGAATGAGTCAACTTCGGTGGAGATTAAAACGGTTATAAGCTAGTTCACTTGGTCCGACAGAGATAGGGTAGCGATAGAGAAAGCTAAACCAACTGTATCGATTCTATCGATATTATCAACAACACAAAAAGGTACAGCACTAGTTGTGGATATTTACAGCTGTAAGAGTACATGTCTATTTTTATGTGTTGTTAATGTTTTAACATCTCAAAATCTCTCCTCAAATAGTTTGCAAGAATTCGGTACCTTATCCGTTCTTGATCGCCTAAAATGCACTTATTCTTTTGTTTGTCAGTATTGTGTGGTGTGAAATGCATCTATCTTTATCAACGCAATCTATATTAAATCATCTTCATCAATACTGTGGAGTACCACAAGGCTGTATCTTGGGTCCACTTCTATTCCCACTCTATTCAAGAACAGCTTTAAGAATCTAGCCAAAATACTTATCACACAGTGTGACACAGAGTAAAAACTACAAACTGTATTATGACTGTATTATGTCTATGGCTTTTGCCCCATAAAAGTACTGCAGCACATACATCAGTGGACTTTTCGCAAACATTAACCACACTCTTTGGCGCTGCCTCATACATATTTGCGTATATAATAAGGGTGACGAGCTCGCATACATCACTGATTATTTGATGACGTTTTCACTTACTGTAAGATCCTCTGATGTTTTATTCCCTCTCTGAGAACGTTGCTATGGCGGGGTCAGAACGAATGACCGCCGGTCACACCGACATGTAATTTGACCTTACGTAATATGAAAATTAAGACTGATTTAGCATATCCAAATGAGCTTGTGAATATTTATATTGTAGTGAAATTGGAGATATGAAATGTTATCAAAATTACACACACCTAATAAAGCTAATTTTATGGGTCTAGTTTTAAGACCTGTTCACTCCAAATTTCGAAACTAAAAATTCAATGGTCAAATTTTGTTTAGAGTTAAGTTTGCCTTAGTTTTAAAAAAAAAATCTGTTTTTTGTAAATAAAATTTAAACAAAAAATAGGTTCTTAGGTCCAAAGTCAAACTCGATGGTCAAATTGAATTTAACTTAATATTTTATGCTGGCCGCCACCAACCGTCCATTGTGGAAATCATTAGGGGTGGCTTTGGCTTATGTTCAGCAGTGGACGTCCTATGGCTTAAATCATGATGATGATGATGCTGATATTCTTTGTATCTCCAACGTCGATCATTACTTACTTATTCAGTAATTTTACTTGAGTAAAAGGGGATGAAATGCAATTTTTGGACTTCGGTGTGAACATCATCTCTTTATTTACGCTAACATACGGTGCATATCATGGTTAGATCACAATACAAGTTGAAACAGTAACAGCATGTATATATGCTTTAGAATTAAATATATAGATATGTAGGTAGATAGTTTTTTGTCCCGTTTATGAGTCATTCTTAATAAACAGTAGGTCTTCACAGTTAAATCCCCGTTCGTGCTAAGAGACCTTCTAATTCTAGTTTGCTAGTAATCTTGGGATAGACACCAGTTTCATATGATAGATCTGATCGGTCACATGATCACTTCGAAATGCGATTAGGCCCTAAAGTAGAAAATAATGATAGAGGGTCAATAGGATGAGGAGTTCTGTAAGCCGGTGGTAGTCCAGCAAACGTTAGCCTAAGACCACAACTTTTGCCACTTTTTGGTCTCCTTATTTTCTGACTAGTTATATTGACATTAGATGACTTTGAAATCCTTCAGACAGGAGCCTCATTATCTTCTAGTTGTCTTGATTCATCTGAGAAAATGAGGCTACCCTCTCTCCCTACATTGCCAAACTGTATACTCATTCATAATGATGTCCCTGACAAAAGAAACCTTTGGTTTCGCTCCTCGGTTCGTGGGTAGTTACACAAACTTCGCATAGTAATGAGAGTTTAAAATTTCAGGATAAACTGGGTTTGCACTGATTGTGTTTTACAATCCGACTTCAAAGTTGTTTAAAGGGTATAATAATATTTACTGTAAAAAGTAAAGCTGTGTATTTTAATGTAGCGTTTCCATAATTGTTTAGTACAAAATCCTGCTTGTGTCTTTTTGTCTGAATTTATAAACAAAAGCTATAGCCTATTAGTAAGTACCAAGTGCGAACAATTTCTGGGCAAATAAATAATATTCTAGCCAAGAGAGTGTTCTCATTTGTATAGGTATCTATGCTTTGTAACTTCAACATATTAATAAGCTAGTTCTAAAAATGACTCACTTTTTTGAAAGTACAAAAAAGTGAGTCACTTTTTCTAGCCGAAGCACAAACCTTTATTAGATTAATAAAGTCTAGATATACCTATAGTAAGCGTACGAAAATTGAGGCAAAAAAATTAGCCTACTAACTTAGTTTTTCCCATAAAATCTGACATTGGATGACTTACGATTTTTGCCTCACTTTAGATGAAAAACTTGTATGATGAAGACTGTTATTTATTAAGTCTAGAGCTACAATTTCATTATAATGCACATAAAATTGAGTGCTTAATTTGCCTCGGAATTCGACCTAAAAGTCAGACCTCTACTTTTATGTGGTTTAGTCACAATATGACTGATTCATGTGAAAATAACCCAATAGACGAACTGATCGCTGTGACCCGCTTCGCCTTTGTTCGGAGGCTCGCCCCACATCCATTGTTGGCTGCCACTCGTGCTGTTATTAATATTTTGATGTATTGTTCTTGAAGAAAAACCAGGGGGAGCTTTTGGGTGCTGTAGGATGGGAGAAAAACGCCGGGAAATTATCAATGGGTAGGGAAAACTTAAGCTGAGTTTCACCATCTTACTTTGACTTTAACAAACGTCAAAAATCTGTCAAACTCCATACAAAATACGCCGGTTATCTTTATAGTTAAGTACGGTCAAAGTTAGTGGTGGAACTCAGCCTTAGTCTTTGACTCGATTGAGACATGGATAGGTCAGATGAAGGTGGAGGCTCATAAAGTTTGACTAAAGGGCTGAAACTACAGATGTTGAGCTTGCCTGTTAAATTACCTAGTAGTGGCAGAATTGATACCAGCAGATTTAGAACTTTAGTAAGATAACATAAGGTTCAATACCAAAGTAAATGTTGTTCTCTATACCAGTTACAGGGTTAAACGATGAAAGAAGAAGTTGCTTTCTTTGATTGCTTAAATTGCGATACGATTCTAATTAGAAAGTTCTTGCGATTTGTATGGTAATGATAACAATCTCTGACAAATCGAAAGTTTGACTTATCCCACTGATATTATGTACTAAGTATGCTAGGTAAGGTACTTATTAGGGCCCATATGGAATGAACCAACTAAAATCAAACCAATGTGATGTTTCAACATAAACCGTCTTATTACAAAACTTAGACTAAAATTAATACCTACAGTGTAAGCTTTACATTCAATATGAAATGAACCCTATGAACCTAGGTCTCTTGCACACTTGAAAACAGTACCCAACCTAAAAAAACTCGTTTCTGCATTGTCCAGTGTGCTTACCATGAGTTTACGTTACGTGTGCTCGCTAGCGACTGCGTAAAAAAATGACACCTAATTGTATGACATATTGTGCAGCGCCCCTAGCGGCTACTTTCAAGAAACAAAATCTCCATAGAGATTTTTGACGTTTTCGCTAGCGAGCACACCTAACGTAAACTCATGGTAGGTACACAGGTTATTTCTTGAATGTGCTCATAGTATACAAGTATTATGTATAAATGTACGAGTATATCAAGGTTACGTGAAGAGCATAAAAGGGTACAAACACATTGGTCTGTAAGGTCAAGGTCACGTACCCTGTAATATCTCAAAAAGAAAATTCTTTGCAGTATAAATAATTTACTTATGTAAATGAAATCAAATGAAAATTTAGGATAATCTGGATTAAGAAGAATTGAATTTAAATATGAAAGTGTAGTTCAAGTTTTTGGATTTTATTGTTATTCTTTGAGAGACGCGTTGTGATTGAATTATGAATTTTCAAGTACATTTTAGTTTCAAATATTTGCTATGAAAAGTTTTTTATAAAGATTTTAAAATTTAAATACATAGTGGCTGTTGCCTGTGCATGATTTTTTTATACTGAAGTAACTAGTAGATATTGCTTTCACTCAAAAGCCATAAGAGCAAGAGCAAACCCATACTCCACACCAGACCATTAAATTGCCATAAATTGAAGACAGAAACTCAAGGTATGACCATAAATCCAAACAAGTAACAACAAT